TACCAGCCGCTCCTTGGGAGAAAGCAATGGCAGTTGCCATTGGTCCAATCAACTCAACAGCAGCAGGCTGGACTGGTTTGGGGCTTGAGGGCTACAGACACAGCCCAAGGTGGAACCAGGCGGGTTGCATGGCTGGGGTCCTGGGCCCTAGTCCTGGTGTGTCCCCAGGTGCTCATCGCCTGCAGGTCAATGACCTCTTTTTCAGCTGAGGAGTGGGCGGGGGCTTCAAACATCTGTGGAGAAATGGAATATGGCATTTTCCCACAAGCTTTTGAAGCCCCCTCGTAGTGTTCCCACTTGATTACACAACACGTCAAATAAATTCTCAGGTTCAAAGAGGAACCAAGGTGACGAGGCTTCTCAGCATTTAGAACCAAATCAAGTGTCACCACTTTGATCTCACAACAACCCCACGTGTGTCAGCATAGATCGTGCTCCATGGGGCTTTTGATAGTGGACCGCTAGGCCTTCTTTCAGAGACACCTCTGCGTGGACTCGAACCGCCAATCTTTCGGTTAGGAACTGAGTATATTCAATTGCACTGGACTCCTGGTGCAGCACTACAGGCTCAGCACTTGACTGCGAATCCCAAGGTTGGCGGTTCAAACCCACCAGCCGCTCTTCAGAAACCCTATGCATGGTTGCTATGAGTTGGAATCGACTCAAGGGCACTTAACAACAACATTGATAATGTCTGCACCAGTCAAGGTTTCCGTCCAGCTCCGACATGGGGGGAGTGGCAAAGAGTTGGTAAGCAATGGACTCCGCTAAGCCCAACACGGGCAGCAGTGGCAGAGATTCACACTGAGAGCCAAGAGCCTCCCATGAGTGGTGGCAAGAGGTCCTCGAAGATACACAACTTCCAGCTAAAGTTAGGAGATCATCTTATTGCAGAATCAGGTACAAGGATGCTCCTGGACAGGTGAGGTATGGAAGGTGCACAGCGTCTGCAGTGAGGATAGGAGCTTGGCTTTTCCGTGAGAGCCCAGAGGTGCAGAGCCCCGCAGGCCCGGAAACCATCGCCTCACCTGTGAAATGGAGCTGATAATGGTCTGAGTCTTGACTGCTCTCAGAGGGTGATCACACAAATTAAACCACCTCCTGTTTGTGACGGAGCACTTCGAACAACACCTAGCGCACAGGCAACCCCTACCTTCCAGAATTCATGGGAAATTAAGATGTGTGAGTTTAAGGAGTGTGACTGAAAACAGTTGGTCAGTGAGCAGTGATTTATAGATCACAAGTGCTGTGGGAACGGACTTGAACTCATGATGATCGCGTGTGTGTCAGCGTAGAACTGCTCCCTAAGAGGTTTCAAGACTGATTTGGGGGAAGCAGGTCACTAGTCCTTTCTTTCAAGGCACCTATATGGGTGGACGTAAACGCCAAGCAGCCGAGGAGGTGGGTGGACATCAACACCGACCAGCCAAGGGGGAGTTAACCCTTTATAGCACCCATGGAGCGATGAACAGATAATTTACAACTGACGTCAAGGCTTAAGACCACCCAGCCTATGTGTTCTGGGACTTCTAATCTTTAAAGAGACCTGAGCAGAGGACAGGGACTCCCCATAATGGCAGGGTGGGGGCATCTGGAGGGGTCCACTGATGGGTGCACTGCTCAGAGTCCCCAGTACCCACCCTCAGGAATCCTCACTCACGTCGTCACAAGCCGATGACTTGAGCGCCCGTCATCCATCTAGTCCCACAGGTGAGACCAGGCTTGAAGATGCCCACGAGCTTGTCCGAGGTCTCACAGCGGCCCTGTGCGAGGACCAAGGCTCGCATCCAGATCGAAGGCCTGAGCACTGGCCTAACCACTTCTAATTGCCGAGATGACTGATGGTCTTACTTTTCTTGCTGTTCATCCTACTTTTATATAAAATACAAATCCTCCGTAAGCTACACACTGGAGGGCGCAGTTGTGGCTTGGTGGTAGCAGGGGACCCCGGTTCATTTCCAGCCAGTGCGCCTCATGCGCATTCTCACGCAACTCTCAGAGGAGGTGAGCGTGCTGCTGGAAGCTGAACGGGTTTCAACGGAGCTCAAGACTAAGGGACACGAAGAGGAAAGGCCTGGAGAGCTGTTTCTGAACACCAGTAGGGGGAGACCCTAGAAGGCAGCTGGTCAGGGATGGCGCAAGACCGAACAGTTTCCTGTCGTTGTGCCCAGGGGGAGGCAGCTAATAACAACAACAAACTGTAAAACGAAGTTTTTTTAGGGGGAAACGTAGAAGCAGAGCCATCAAATGTAAACCACGTAAAACTCAGCAAATTTGAGAGAAATTGTCTCTGACTCTACCTGCCAGCTTGTTACCTGAATGCATCTCACCAATGCGATTCTATTTTGCAGGAAAACAATCTGTCCTTCCTGAAGACATTCTCTCACACGACTCACCTTTTCCCGTAGCCCAGAACACCAGCCAGAGCAGATGTCTGAGGTGGGAAAGCGGGGAATAGGCAGGAATGTGGTGGTCTTTGGTGCTGTGGCATCAATTCCGACTCATGGCAACCCTGGTTCACAGAAGAGAGCTGGCCCAGCGGCTTTCTAAGCTGTTGTCTTTACAAGGCCTGATAGATCACATGACCTTTTCTTTCAGAGCAGCTGCATGGCTTTGAACCGCCAACGTTTCGGTGAACACTTAGTCTTTGCCCAGCAGACAAGAAAGCCCCACAGAGCTCAGTTCTACCCAAGCACATGGGGTTGCCAGCACGGTTTGGATGTGGGCACCTTGAAAAAGTTATAATCACCGCAGGGCTTCTCAGAGAGGAACACGAGGGCCTGAACACCGCCACACTGACCGGAGAAATAGCCCCCTTCAACTCCAGTTTCCTATACACATTTACAAAGCAATTTATACAAATCAAAGCTGGTGTAAGCTGCCAGAAGAAACACGGTCCGAAAGCAAAGAAGGCTTGCTTCAGGTTCTCTTTAGAAAACCAGAGTGTCCCAGAGCAGGGACTGACTTGAGCCCCACATGGAAGAAAAGGTCCATGTTTGGTCTCTAAAGCTCATGAACCCAATGAGGTGACTGCAGATTGTCCCTGGCCTGCCCTCTGCTACCCACACGAACACAAGGCTGACGTTGCCTCAAGGGTTCCTTCCCACCTCCCCTCTTCACCACGCTGGGCTGCTGGGGACCTCTGCAATGACCAATGGCAAAAAAGTCCCAAAAGATTTGGCTTTCTTGAAAATAGACCCTGTGGTCCCTCCCTGTGGTGGGCTCAGTGGTAGAATTCGCACCTCCGATGCAGGAGATCTAGGTTCAATTCCCAGCTAATTCACCTCATGCACAAAACATGTCATCTTTGTGTGTTACTAGGCTACTGAACGGATTTCAGTGGTCCTTCCACAGTAAGACAGATTAGGAAGAAAAGTCTGGTGATCTACCTCTGAAAATCAGGCTGTGAAAACCTCATGGAGCCCAATGGTCTGATCTGCAACCAGCCCTGGGGATGGCAAAGGACGGGGCCACATGCTCTTCCACTGTGCACGGGGCGAGCACGAGTCCAGGGCTGACTCAACAGCAGCTCTCAAAGCTACCCTCCTTCTTGTGCTGCCGTATCGCTCCCCATCCCACATCCTAAACCCATCACTGCGCAATTGGGCCTGCTCTTCAGAGCCCTGTTCAGACGCGGCCACCACATTCTTCCAGGGGAGGCGGGTCTTTGGAAGCAAAGACACAGCCGCTCATATCTGGTGACGATGGGGCGTGTGCAGGTCACGGGCACTTTTAGAAGATGTCCAGTCATTCCTGACCCATCTCCAAAGAAGTTGCCCTGGTGCCAGAATGGAAAAAAAAAAGTCTCCGAAAAACAAAAAGGCAAGGAAAAATAAAATTATACATTCCATTTTACACAAGGCGTTCTGCCAAACCCTGTGCCCGCCACCACACGCATTTTCAGACAAGCCTTACGCTGTGTGCTGGCCACAGTCCTTGGGGGAGTAAATCTTCACACTCAGGACCCTGAGCTCCCAGCCTTGCCTTCTTCTCTCCTACAGGCATGTTTATGGCTGCTATCTCCCCGCTCTACCCCAATAGAATGCATTCTGTCTCATGTGTCCCTGTCCCACCACAGCCCCAAGATCTCATGCCCAGTCTTGGTCTCTGCGCCCGCAGGGTGCCTCTCGCAGCCCTGGCCTGTCCCCAACGTGATGGCACCATCATTCTTCAGTTATCACAGTACTGTACCTCTCAGACATACAGCAGCGGTACCATGATAACCGAAAAAGGGCAGTTCACTCTCACCTCCAGCGGCACGTCCTTCCCAACAAGGCCCACCCGCTTCCCTCCTGCAGGCAGAGCTACGGCGATCACCAAGTGTCTGCGTGTGTGCGCATGATCAGTGCACGGGTACATGAACGCTCAGATTGGCCGTTGTCGGGCACCTCTCTTACTACTGGGACTACTTCTTTCACTGTGCTGCTGATAATCCTAGTCTTCGGGCCAGCTGCTCTTTAGGGAAGAAAGTCTGCCTGTGAGCCCCTTGGCAGTCAGGGTTCTAAGCCCCCCTCTACAGCCCCCCTGGTCCAGTAACATTACTCTAAACATCGCCTCTCCCTTTATCTGTCCCAGCCAATTCAAACACCATCAGTTTGTGACCCTTTTGACCACAGCAAATGAGCAAATGAGACTGCTGGGAAGGACAGAGACAAAAAAAAAAACAAAAAACAGAAAAATCCAAGATATCACATACCAGGAATATCAGATACCAGGGCGATATCACATACCAGGAATTCACTGTGAAGTGGAAATGAACTCTTGAGTGTGTGTGAGAGGAGAAACACACACGACAGATCACACAGCTTTATCCACATGTGAATGATGACAGAAGGATGAAAACAATAGCAAAGAAAGGCAGGCGAGTCCTTGGGCACAGGACCCCCCAACCAGGCTGAGCCCCAAGCTCTGGCCTCTTTATGGGAGGAGAGCTGCAGACATTTTGTGTTATTAGAAAATTGAACTGGCCAGAATGAGGAGGTTGAAAGAAAAGCACCTACGTGTAGGGGGAGAGCGGTCCCAGGAGAACTTTGGACACGTCCTGCTGCCCCAGGGTCATCAGCAGCAGGGCCAGGCTCTGGTTGGTCGAGTCCACACAGCCGCCCTGCAAACACAAACATGCCAATGATCAATCCTTGTGCAAACTAGAAGACAGAAAGCCAACAAAGGAGAGCAAAGGAGGCACAACACAGCACAAGATGTTCACAGGGATAAAACGGAAGGGCTGGGGCTGTGGGGGCAAACGGGACAGTACGGCTCGGCCAGAGAGAGCACACACCACAATGTGGATGAACCTCTGACCGCAGCCAAACCAGCCAGTCACCAAAGGAAACCGACTGTAAGGGCCTTATTTACATGAAATAAGCAAGTATATGAAACCACAGATTATCGGTGGTTCCCTGGAGTCAGGGAAGGCAAAGGAAAGCTTGCTTAGGGGGCACAAAAGTTATGTGACTACGGTGGGATGACTTGGAAAGACAGCATAGAATGGTTCTAACAAGCTAAGAACGTAATCAACATTACCAAATTGTACATGGAGAAATTGTTGAGATGGTTTATGTTGAATTATGCAGATTTTCACCGCCGAAAAATTTATATATAAAAAAAGACTAAACCTCCTATCAACTATTTTGTTGTTCTTCCACGCTGAGTTGGTTCTGACTCACAGCAACTGCGTGGGAGCAGAAATCCTCATCGTTCTCCCACAGAGCTGCTGTGGCTTGAACTGCTGACCTTGTGATTCACAGTCCAGTGCTTACCCTATGGAGTCACCGCACTTCATATAAACTCCTTCAGGGGTGTACTTAATCAAAGCAACTGTCATTGTGAACCGCTCAAACAGGTGTTCACGCTTACTGACGCATAGGCAGTGGGAGTGAAGCAAGAGCCCCAAACCCATCATCTCAGTTACAGACTCCAACTGTGTTCCCCCCAATATGTGTTCTTACCTAACCTCCTGGTGTGGCGCTGTAGGATCACAACTGGACTGTGACCCACAAGGTCAGCAGTTCAAACCCACCAGCTGCTCCTCAGGAACCCTACACTATGAGTTGGATCCGACAACAGCACTTAGCAGCAACATGCCTGTGGTTAGAGGAGTCCTAGTAAGACTGTAGGACAAGCACTGGACTACTAGCTACAAGGTCGGCAATGTCCCAAAACCCTACAGGGTGAACCAACTTGTAGTACTCACTCAGTAACATGCCTGTGATTGGGAATGGCTGCCTCTGCTATGTGATGAGGCAGGATGAGAGCAGGGTATCTGAGATATGGGGAACCCACTAACAAGCTAGAGACATGGGGCAAGACTGAGGCCAAGTCCTGGAGAGACCCAAGGAACCAGAAGCAGAAGCTGGAGACAAGGCGCTTCCTCCGAGGCGGAGAGACAAGGCTAACTGTTGGTCTCAACTGTGAGGACATCCATTTCTGTTCCTTAAGGCCACCCACCTGTGGCAGCACAAGAGAACCAAGCGAACGAACACAAGTTCTAAGAAATGTCCAGCTGTCACCAAGAGTTAGCGACACACCTAGTCTGTCACATAATTAATCTGACAAACGCAGAGGGGACAACCATGAGACAGCAGGGCCATGCTGCTGTTGTGGGGTCTATGAGAACTCCGAACTCGCAGGGGCCCCATGTGAGAGAGCGGGATGGCCCCACAGGCGTTCTTCTTAATGTAAGTGCGGCTGAACTAGTTCAGATACAAAGCATCCCTACAGAGGGTTCCAAGGCGGGCCTGCTGGGTCTGAACTGCTGACCTAGCGTACAGCGCTACACAAGGACTCCTCTAACCACAGACAGGCCTAGGGGCTAGTTTGGGAGTGACACAGGTGTAGCTAGTCATCCAGTAATGAGGGGGTGCTGCCAGGCGCAGAGTGGAGTGTGCCCTCCCGTTGACACCCCTCACCTGCTCCGCTCTCTCCTTACAAGGAGGTACCAGCTCTTTCCCCTCCCTGCCCTGTGTCCCCACCCTGTGGGGCCACCTCTGCTTACCAACTCCTCCAGCTGACCAAGGAAACCAGTGAATGTGCCCCTGGTCGGGTACGGAAGCAGGCTACCTGCTTGGAACTCAGGAGGGTGTCGAGATGTAGGACTGGGAAGCGAGGAACAGCAGAGGTGGTACGTACCCTGTGGATCTCCTCCAGCAACAGCTTGGCACAGTTCCGGCCCAGGTCCTCGGGCAGCACGGTCACACCCTGACCCTGAGGATTGGAGGCCAGCTCAGCACTGAGAAAGGTGCCGTTTGTGGTCTCTGCGATCAGAGACAGTCCAAAGCCTGGAGACCTGGGGATTCAAAGACACAGCCACTGAGCAGGGGTCATGAGATGGGGTCTCCGCGGGCCAGCTAGGGGGAGAGGACAGCTTCTGACGGCACTCTGTCGGGAGGGCAGTCCTCCTCCGTCCCAGGGTCACTGTGGGCTTGCATTGTGACTTGGCATCAATGGGTTGGGCTTCGTGGTGCTTCGCAGTAGCGTAGTGGTTACGAATCTGGCTGCTAACCTCCGGGTCAGCAGTTCAAAACTACCTGCTGTTCTGCGAAAGAAAGATGAGGCTTTCTGTTCCCATAAAGATTTATAGCCTCGGAAACCCTATGCAGGGTCGCTATGAGTCGGCACCGATTCCACAGCACACCACCACCACTGTACTTTCAGCACTGGACTGTGAACCTCAAGGTCGGTGGTTCAAACCCCCTCGCTGCTCCCTGAAAGCCCTATACAGGGTCACTGGAAACTAACTTAAATGTTGGTGGTTCAAATCCTTCTACCGGTGCCTTCCGGAAGAAAAGCCTGGTGACCTCTTCCCTAAAGCTTATAGCCAGCAGAAAGCACCAGCTTTGCACGAAAATCCTCTCCCAGTGTTCAACCTGTCATTGCCACACTTCCAGCCTCATCCTGGGTGGTCAGCCCCAGACCACGCTGACGCTAACAGTCTTACTTTCAGGAACTGAGAACTTCCGAGCGCAAGTAGACCGAGGTCCCCAACACACACTGAGATGGTCTTCAAAAGCAAACACAAAACCCACAAACAAAGCCAACTTGGCCGAGCATGCATCGTTAGCTCCGGCAGCAGGGCTATCCAGGCGTTCCTTGTACTGTCCTTTCAGGTTTTCTGGGGGCTTACAGTCTTCATAATGAGAAAGAATATGCACACCTGTGAAAAGCTGTATTCATGAAGACTGTGTGCGCGCAGGTTCCTGTATTTGTGACCCCCACCAAGAGGAGCTGTTGTGGCTGCTATGTACAACCAAATAGCTCCCTGGACATCCCAGTGAGTTGGCCTAGTAACGTGCTTTGTGCTTTTGCTTTACCCCTAGTTGCAATAGCGCCTGGGGTCTCTATTCACCTGGAGCAACAAGGGAAGGGGAAGTCAGGAATAGGACAAGGATGCAGAAGGTGGCTAACTGCATCCATGAACAGCTGCCTCCTTTGCCATGAAACTCTAAGAACTGGATGGTGTCCAGCTGCTATCAGTGAAGATTCTGATCAAAAGTGGGGAAATGCAAAACAGAATTTCAACTTCTCCGCCCCCAGAGATTAGATCAGGACCCCGGAAACTAATGACTCAAAATAACCTTTAACACTTCACCTTAAAACCAAACAATTGAGCTTATTAACTAGTATAAGAGTTTGCTCTGAGCACTAAGCTCTTTTCAGAACAATCTCTATGGAATCAAAATGAGACAGATGAGATGGGAACCTTCTGGGACAGTGAGTTTATGTTAATGTGGTAAGAACCATTGAGAAGAGGAGGGAGAGAAGATTGCACAACTCCAAGAATGTAACTAATGGCAATGAATTGCACAAGGGGGAACTGTTGCGTTGTGTGTGTTTTTCTGTGTGTATTTTCAGCTACACAATTTTTAAAGTTTCAATACGCCTTGCTGGTGCAGTAGGTTAAGTGTTGGACTGCTAACCATAAAGTCATTCTTCAGCACAAAGCTGACGCAGTCTGCTCCCGTAAAGATCTGGTCTCGGAAACCCTGTGGAGCGCTCCCACTCTCCCTACACGGTCAGGAGTGACGGAATGGTAGTGAAGTTTGGGTCTTTAAAGGAAAACACTAAACTGGTTTTAACTGCTTCCATACCTTTTGGTTTCGAAATACACAACCAGAGCTTCACTTCACTGACAGATTATCACTCATCCTGTGTTTAGTAGCTAAAGTGAGGTTATTTCTCAAAGGCCTTTCATTAAACCAAACCCAAATGTACAAGTTTCCCAAATCTAGGGGTGTGGTTCCCATCAGTGGAGAGAGAAGCCAACTGGCACTTAGACAACAAGGGATCTTCCCTGCTACACTGCTGTTTACTGAGGGTGGGAGCAGAGTGTAGGCAGACTTAAAGCTCAAGGCACCAGGCTCACTTTGAGGGCAGGACCCATGGCCCCCATCACTGGCCGCCAGCCCCAGTGCGCACACTCACTTCCCAGAGTTCACCCCTTTCATGTGGTCCGTGTAAATGTAGATGTCAGGGATGAACTTGTTGAGGATGCTCCTTGCGGAATCCACGATCCGGTTGGCCATCTGCGGGGACACTCGCACTGAGTAGCTGCAGGCGGGAGTTAAGGAAGCCCCTACTCCGGGGAAGTCAGATGTAACGGGGAGCTAGAAAAGGACATCTTGGTCGGTAAAGTCGACGGCCCAAAAGACACAGAATATTCCAGAACATGGGTCGACACCACAGCTGCAACAATGGGCATACCAGGGACCCTTTCGTCAGTTACACAGAAGGACCCCAACATTTGGAGCTGACCCCACAGCAACTAGCAACCACAGAAACAAATGGGGCGCTCCTGCCATTCTGTATTCCAGTTATGAGAGCATGCTCCAAAAGTCTGTGGGAGAATTTCACTATCTTTACATTCCACTTGCCCACACACTCGTATATAAAGCCCCTTGCATTAATAATTTAGTTTGATGCTACCATATTTTTTACATTATTATTATATGAGACTTAATTGATGCTCATAAGGAGCTCTGGTAGTGTAGTGGTTACGAACTGGGCTGCTAATCTCACTCACGGTCAAGAGTTTGAAACTACCAGCTGTCCCGCGGGAGAAAGAGGAGGCTTTCTGTTCCCATAAAGATTTACAGCCTCAGAAACCCTGTGCCAGGGTTGCTATGAGTTGGAACCGACTCCACGGCACACAACAACAACAAATGATACTCACAATGATGCAAACAAACAAGAGAGTTGGAAAATAAACACTCCCCCTGTCCCCCCACACTTCCAGTGCACACTCTCCCCTAGAAAAGGGTCCACTCAACGCTGGAATGAGTGAGGGTACCTTGCCTTTGCACCCCGAGCCAAGCTCCTGGTGACGGCACACTGCTGCAAACACATCAGGCCCATCTGTCCCCTCTGCTGGAACCCACCCAGCTCTCTCTCTAGAACCTAAGGCCAACCATCAGCCTCCTAGTCTGGTTTCTAGAGAAGCATGGCACATTTCGTGAAAAAGCATGGTGGGTGTGGTTTATAAAGACCCAGAAAGGGTTATATATTATATACTGCACAGAGCCTATTTCCAATGATCCAAGATTTACTTCTCCCGTTTGTGAATGACGCAGACCCAGTACACCTACAGTACACCCACTAGCTATGAGGAACCTGTGCTACCCACAGCATGGGACTACTTGGCTGGAAGGTTAGTGCCTCGGCAGACAGGCCTTGCGATCTGCTTGTGAGAGGTCACAGCCTTGACAACCCCATGGAGCCTCAGTGACCACACTGCTGCCGCCACCCACCTAATGAAGACCGGCGCGTCCACAACAGGTCACCCCAAGAGGGAGGCACAAGGACTAGTACTTGAGGAAGTAGAAACTGGCTCCTAAAGATGATTCGATTTTCTGGCAGAGACTGGCTCTCCCCAACTCCACAGATCAAACAAACACTGAGCACGTTCCATGTACAAGGAAGGCCTGCGTTGTCTGAAGTGAGCGAGCTGTCCAGGTGGGGGAATGGCGCACGGACCGCAGAAATCCTCCCCGACTTCCCACATTAAGTCTAAGAGGTAAGAGAAGATGGGCGATCTGTTGAGTGCAGCCCAATAGCTCCAATACTGTTAGCTTATTTAACTTTCCTTTAAGCTGCAGAAACAAAATACTCAGATGACTCACTCGACTGCTAACCAAATGGTTGGCAGTTCAAAGCCACGAAGAGGTACCTCCAAAGAAAGCCTGGCGATTTGCTTCTGGAGGGTCCGAAGCTTGAAAATACTCTGGAGTCCTTCTATTCTGTACACATGGGTCAGAACCAACTTGGTCGTAACTGGTTTAGACTTTTTGTGCAGCGCAAACAGTTATGCACTTGGCTATTTGCTGAAAGGTTGGCTGTTTGAATTCATCTAGAGGCACAAGGGAAGTCAGACCTGGCAATCAGCTTCTAAAGGTCATCACCCTCAAAGCCCTCAGCAGTGCCACTCTGCACCCACGGGGTCTCCACGTGTGGGAACCGATTGATGGCAGCCAACATCAACAATGCAGGGTACCCAGCCTGCTACTGCCTGCCCCCTCTGATCCACCCTCAACAGTCCATGAAAACATGGCTCTTCCCAGCTACTCAGGACCCTCCAACCTGCACCCTTCACAGCCTCCTCCCCAAGCTCTTCTTCCACCTCCCCTCTCTCTCGGCGAACCCCCAGCCAGCTTCACGTGAACTGACCACACGGCTGTCCCTGGCTCACACAGTCTGCTCTTCCTGTGCTGCCGTGGCCCGCAGCTCCCCACCACACTCCTCCGGGGCTCAGAAAAGTGGGATCGGCATCTGACTGGCTGCAGAGGACAAACCTGGAATGAGGCAATAGCGCCGAGGGATTGTTCAACACTCGTCCACAGAGCCCGTTACACCATCTCTTCTGTACAGCGCGGCCCCTGGCCCACACACGGCTCACACAAACACAGCTCTCCACATGCCCTTTGGACCGGGAGCTGCTGTCCTCCAAGGCCGGACACTGCCCACTCTCCCTTCTTCTCTCTGAACAGGATCCTGAGGCATTCCTCATCTGCCATCAACCTAAGGAGAGGCCCGGGGAGGCCCAGGCTTTAACCCTGAGGAAAACTGAGGCACCTGCTCAGGATTACACAGTCCCCTTCTCGGAAACAGCTCCCTCTGTCCCTTGGAGATCAGAGGTCAGGGCCAATTTGGGACAAGGAAAACCCAGTGAATTCAGTGGGATGAAAAGGCAAAGGTGCTTCAGAGCCATCGGGCTTGGCGTGGAGGCCCACGGTGACAAGCCAGTCCCAGCTCCAGCCTCCTGCGCCATTCTGGCTCAAGCATGCCGGATCTCTGCGCTTCTGCTTCCTGTCAGTGAAACAAGGGTCACATGGACCAAGCGCTAAAGCACCGAGTGCGTGCAAACCCAAGGAAAGGCAGTCCTGTTTTCTTCATCACTGTCCAGGATTTGCATCCCAAAGCAGAGATCTCCTCCTTCCCAGGACCAGAGACCTCTGAAAATCTGATGAAAGCCACGAGTCCTCTTCCTAAACAAACACAGCGCTGCAGCCAATCACAAGGGTTCGTGACTTTCTGAAGCTGAGTTAGGGACACCACGATAGGACTGACAGGGTCAGAGCAGAGCAGTAGCCCATGTGAGAGCCCGCTTGTCAAGAACATAGGGGTGACAGACAGGCTGACACACCCCCAGGGAGGAAAACCAGATCGCCACCCAAATTCCAAGTCACCCGTCAGCTTATCTGTGCTGAACCATGAAGCCTGTGTTCTGGTGTCGTTGGGCTACGGCTACTTAGAAAGGGCCAGAAACAAACCCACAGCGCTCCTTCCTCAACCCACCTCAGGAGGGGAGACCAGAGCACTCCTCTCTCTACCTCACATGGGGTAACTTCCGTCTCTCCTGACCTGGACTGGAGGTAGTGGGGACTCAATGGGAGTGTGCTCCCCACCCCCCCACCCCCACCTTCGACACAGAGAACAGAAGTGGATGGTATTAAACATGAGCTCACAGCCCTGTCCAGTCCCGGCCGGTAAAAGGCAGGAACCAACTCAGGCCCTACCTGGTCATTTGTGGACAGTAAGGGGGAGAATGAGCCACAGAGGGGCTCAGTGAAAGGCATGATGCATACAGAGTGGGGCTACTGTCTCCCGACTTGAGCCTCCTTCAGGGATACACATCTCCAAGCTCAGCCCACAAACTGAAAAAACCACAAAATCAACTCAAGTGTTTTCCAAAGATGGCTAGTTTTTGTGGCCAGACTCCCCAACTACCAAAGATGACAACCTCAACTCAGACCCACATTCCTGAGAGGTGTTGGGCAGCTGTGTGGAGCAACAACTAAATTGCTGGGCTACAGAAGGGCCCTGGACCCCGTGGCCTGGAGAGCAGAGGAGGGGACTGGGAAGCGCATGCAAAGCAACTCACTAGTCACTGCTGGGACAGTTTGTGACTGATCCTCCGGCTGTCTCAGGCCACAGCTTCAAAGCTTCCGTTAGTCCCACCCATTCCACCAGAGTGACAAGGGGGCTTCAGAAAGTTCATGAGGAAATCGCTTTATCTTTTCATTCCATTGTCCCACAAGGTTTTGAAGCCCCCTGTACGTGTTTGCAGATTTTGTCTGCTCTATGGCCTTTACGGCTCCCAGATCAAGGCCCTTCCAAAAGGACCACACATACAGGAGTCACCTGCTAAAGTGTAAGGCGGAAAGAAAGCCATACACAGGCACACATGCGCACGCGCACTTCACTGCCCTGTGCAGCAGACACTGGGCCCTGAACGAAGTGAAGGTTTGTGGCAACCCTGCATCAAGCAAGTCTAGCGGCACCGGGTTTCTTTCCAACAGCATGTGCTCACCTCCTATTTCGGTGTCATATTTTGGTCATCCTCACAGCATTTCAGACATTTTCATCATGCTATTACATAGACTACAGTAGGATGCCACTAGCACTTCTACGTGCACTGGGGAAACCCCAAAGTTCAGGTGACTCCCTTTATGGCGATATTCACTTTAACGTGACAGTCTGTAAGTGAACACGCAATGTCTCCCAGGTCTGCCAGTAACGAACCAACTGACCCATCTAGTCCCGAGGAGACAGACAATAAAACACCACATCCAGAAGGCAAACCACCTGGGAAGAAGGAAAGCCGTTATTACTCACTCATACCTTGGAGACACAAAAGTTAAGAAGTATTCTAAACGGAATGCAAAGGATACGCCATTCCACGGATGCGCTTGATTTTTCCAGGGTCCGTGAGCTGAATGGGCTTCAGGGCCTTCTTGATCGGACAGGAGAAAACAACTTCACCGCCACCTCCCGGGGGCATTCCCCGACGCACAATCTGCACAGGGCAGAGGGGAGTGAGGACAGGGTAGAGGCCACACCCAGCCTGCCACAAAGCAAACCAGGGTGAACTTATCCACCCCGCCAGGACCAACTGCACCTTCATTTGTGCCAACAGGGTGCCTTCCCTGTTTAAAACAGCTTCAGACACCGAGGGCGACCACTCCTATAAAGGGGGTTTCTTTTGACAGCGCACAGACAAATGGGAATGGACAGATGGGAAGCTGCTGCCACCAGATGTGGAAACCGTGGGACTCCAGGTCAGAAGTCCCCGTCAGAAACGTCACCTTGATCCTACACAGAGGTGGGCCAGCCTGGTGGTCTGCTGTGAGGATCTGCTGGCTCACACCAGTACCTACCACAGAGCATGCGTAAAGTTAACTACTGACTACAACTGCCATTATTAAGGCTCTTGTCAGCTCAAGCTTCCGCAGGACTTCATGAATCTTGTGAGTCTTCTCATCTGAGGGAGCTTCTGAATAGTCGTAGAAAGACTAGAAATACGATGCCATTTTTTCACAAACTTTTCAAAGCCCCCTCCTACATGGCACCTCAAATGTGACATACACACACTGATTCTTTAAGATGTTTCACTCAGTTATAAGGAGCCCTGATGGCCTGTAGGATAAGCACTAGACTGCTAACCACAAGGTTGGCAATTCAAACCCTCTTCTCCCATAGACGCCCAGCCTGGGAAACACTATAGAGGATGATGATGAGTCAGAATGGGCAGCGGCAGCGGGGACTCTGGCTCATACAGCCAAAGGTCATGCATTCTTACCTTCAGCTCAAAGGATTCACCATCGATCCCAAACTGTTTCAACAGAGGGAGGGCTGTAGCCTTAAGAACATCGACCTATAAAATTAGTTCAGGGGAAAGAAGAGTTTAGTTAGAGCTTGTTGCTGATGTAACTGCTGTCTAGTCAGATCCCTGACTCGTGGCAATGCCATGCATGACGGAACAAAATGCTGTCAGTCTGTCTCATCCTCAGAACAGGCTGAGGAACAGATTACTGGGATCCATGGAGCTCTGGTAGCGTAGTGGTTACAAATCAGGCTGCGAACCGCAAGGTCAGCAGTTGGAAACTACCAGCTGCTCCACGGGAGAAAGATGAGGCGTTCTGCTCCTGTAACGATTAACAGCCTCAGAAATCCTGTGCAGGGTCGCTATGAGTCGGAACCGACTCCACAGCACATAACAACAACAACAACATAGGGTTTGCAGTGGCTGATTCTCAGCAGTAAGTCACCAGGTCTTTCTTTCTAGTCTGTCCTAGTCTGGAAGCTCCCCAGAAACACAGCAACCAAGCATGTCTCCTCTCCCAGACACGTGGTAGTTATACCCGAGGAGGGCTGCCCACATGGAAGGCACGAACTCCAAACCAGCCCCAGAGCTCGGGCAGACAGAAAGGCAAAGAGCCCAGGATTTTTGTCATCAAGCCAGAGATGCCGCCAAGTCAAGGAAAAGGCCGTACCTTTGGTTTGATGTGCCACAGCCCCACTGACTATGGCCCTTAGGCGCGGAGCTCCACCTCTGGCAGAGCCCTGCAGCCTCCCAGCCCATGTGTGCAGATGGCAGAACCGAGGACATGCCTGAACAGATGGGAGGGAGAGACCACACTCTATGCAGGTACCCGCCAGGGTAGTGTAGCTCAGGCAGCGTCAGACACCTTCTCCAGCAAAGGAAAAGACAGCAACCGCAATTCTCCTCTCTCCACCAGGCTCCCTGGGAGTCAGATCCAATTCGAAAGCAGCGTTTGTTGGTTTTTATTATACAAGTATCATTTAAGGGGAATTTGTCAACTGATCTTTGTCATAGTTTAGATATAAAACTTTTTTCCATATTGCCACTGAGAAAGCAAATCATCTGCGACTAAATGCCCTAAACTGGGACACACAGTGCTGAAATCTCCTGTACACATGGGACTTTTTTATTGTTTGAGGCACCAACCCCCATATCCCCCCGCCCCCAACTCCAACCTAAAAGTGCAGTTGCCTCCCTTCCCGCTAATTCACTGAAGAGTCCAATGCTTGCAATGTTGCAGACAATACAGGAAGGTTAAAGCCATCCCCTGAAATTAGTTCAAATTCTACACAGCTTGTATGACAGTCCTTCACAGCTAAAGGTTTCCAGCCTTGCTCTATCCTCATCACCCCAGGAGACGAATCTGTGCAGCTGGATTTCTAAGAGCGGAGGAGTCAGTCTCCCAATAGCTAAAAACACGTTACACACAACTCTACCCTGGCAAGTGTCTCGGGGAATGGTAGCGGCCTCCACTTGGGAAGCCGCCTGCTCACTGGCCTGGACCCGTGTCTGCAGAGGCAGAGACAAGAAGGCTCCCTGTCCCACCCCAGCCACCAGCTTTAAGGCCACAGCTTGTCTGGACAGCAGAGCAGCTCAAGGTGGGAGGCCCCCCGGCAGCCACCTGTGAATGTGAAGCACTTCTCTAGACACACATACACACACACCACCCCACCTGTCATCCCAGGCCTCTGTGTGGTTCTTCCAGACTAGGAGACCAGAGAGAAAGACCTGGAGAGCCACTTCTAACCTTCAGTGACTGAAAACCCGATGGGATCACAAGGGTCCCAGGCGCAGCAGCAGCCAGCATTTTGACCCCCATGAATGGGGGCAGAGAATAACAAGAGGAAGAGGTTTAGCACATCCACCTAGAGGGATGTGCTTAAGAACCACATGTAAATAAGCTAAAGGCACAACCCTCAAAGACAAAACCCTGTGTTACAGAGAACTTTTCTCAGAAGCTGGGTGGTGACAAGACAGCAACAAAGCCCACACTCACGGAAGGGTCGACCTGGTCGTTGGTCACGCCACGCAGAACTGCCTTCAGAGGGTGCTTCATGAATGGGGCCAGGCAGAGAAGGGCCTCCAGGTAGTAGCCGATGGCGCGGAGGACGCTGCAGTCGTGTTCCACAGAGCCGCCGTACAGGAGGCCCGGCTGGTAGTACAGGGTGGTGCCTGGAGCCAGAGGAGAGAGCTCTGTCCCCCAGGCCAAGGGCTGACCCCTGCTGCCAAGCCCTGCAACTGTCCTAAGCTCTGAGGGTAACTTCACCAGTGGTCACGAACTGAATCCCTCCCTACGCCACCAGAATTGCCAATGTCCCCCAAAGTCACACGTCAGACAGTGCTGACAAGGAGGATAAGCACTGGACTGTTCACCCCCACCAGTCGCTCCGAGAGACACAGAAACTTTATACAGGGTTTGACTCGATGGCAGTGGGGTTTGGGCTTTATGCTTAAATCCAGGAGTCCTGGTGACGCAGTGGGTTAGCTGTTGCGCTCCTAACTGAAAGGTCAGCAGTTCAAACCCACCAGCTGCTCTCCAGAGACTTCAGTGTGTTCCTGTAAAGATGACAGTCTAGGAAACCCTCTAGGGAGCTCAACTGTGTCCTACAGGGTTGCTAGGAGTCAGAGGGTTTGCAGTTTTCTCTTCATGAACAAAGGCTGCTGGGGCCGGCATCCACCCCACAGAGGAGAGTGGAGGGGACGTGAGGCTGGGCTCAGGTAGCAGGAGTGCACTCAGCGGTGGGCGAAAGACGTGACCGTGTCGGCAATGAGGGGCCTCAAGGGTTTCCCAACAGAGCGCCACCTCACCGGATATTGTGTCTGTCCTGTGTCAAGTCCAGCTGGGCTCCACCTGGTCTCTTGTGTCAAAATGTCACATTCAGGTGGCAGAAAGAAAAGCATTTCTAGCATTTCTACGGAGTCATCTGGTTTTAGATCTTTGTTACAGAAGCCAGATAATATCTCATTGAAACGTAACACTCAGGAAAAAGCCAACACCCAAGACCAGCTGGGCCCACCTAGCTGAAGGCCTGCCAGAGCCTGAGGGCCTACAGGTGAGCGGGTGCCACAGGGCTCCAGGTGCGGAGGTCTGGGAGTACCAGGACGTACCTGGGAGGGGCTCCGAATGAGTTCCTACTTTACTCCACACCTCCACTCCCACAAATACAAGGTTGGGCCAGGCTCATTGCTTTCTTAGATCTGTCAGTCTTACAATGCTCTGTGTACTTTCTACCTTGAGCAGGGTTTTTTAATGAACATGCCATGGACCCCACCTCTTCCCTGCCAATACTGGCATTTTGGGATCTTCACTGTAGGAACAGTAAGTGTGGTTTTATAACAAGGGGAGAGGTCTAGGAGTCAGTCGGTCCTGGGGGCAGTTCTTTAAGCCCTCAGAATGTCACTCTCCACACGGTAAAATAGAGACAATGAGGCCACCTTTGCCAAACTGCTATGCAGACTAAATGTGCCTTTCAGTAACTGACCCCAACTCTCAGTTCAATGAATCTGCAGTTCTTAAGTGTCATCCAGTCAATTTGGACTCATAGCGACGCTGTAGAGAGTTTTGAAGGCTATAAATATTTGTGGGCGCAGAAAGCTTCATGTTTCTCCTGCAAATTGGATGGTGGGCTCGAACTGATTATCTTGTGGTTCATAGTCCAGTGCTTATCCTACAGAGCCACTGTGCTCTCCATTCAAGTAGCAGGAGCTATTTAAATGTAATTTAGCAAAAACAAGTCTCTCAAATTATTCTACAGCTTTAGTGGAAACTCCTTAGTCTCTTTATTTACTTTTCAAACACAAGGGTAAGTCAAAAGTATAGTTACAATATCATAGAGACCTTTATTCAACAAAAACATGGACTCAAATCATGTTCTCTCTCAATGGTCTTTGAGTTTGGGGAAGAAACACAAGTCGGTAGGGGCAATATCAGAACTGGAGGGTGGGTAGGGTAAAGTTCCCAACAAAATTCTCCCCGGGCAGCCCTTGCTCCCTGCGCCCCTCCCGAGTAATGAGCAGGTACGCTGCTGGGATGGAGACCAAGTCTAGAACTTTCCTGGCCTTTCTCTCATCACTGCAGTTTTCTGTTTTCTTTAAACGTCTTCACAAGAAACCCCTGTGATCATCCTGTGCCCTTTGAGAAAATCTATCAAGACCACCCCCTTGGGAGTCCCAAACCAGTCACTTAAACCTTCTGAGTTAACCTCTGTCTTAAATCGAACTGACTCAGCAGAGCCCCTCACAAGCCATGGCTTTATTAGACTGTTTTTTTAAGGCACCCCAAGGAGACTAAGAAAGGACTATTACTGAGAGAACTGCAGCCTTCCAGGGAAGGCAGAGCCATGTGTGAAGGTGTTTGTTTGGAAGAGTCTGTGCAGGAAGAACTGCAGCCCTGGTAGCAATACTTTCTGACTGGTCCTCGTAACGTATCATCCTGTTAAGTTTCAGAAAAGTACTGGATTTTCTTACTGTATTTACATATTGGAAGAAAATACCCTGATATGAGTGAACAGGGGGCTTTTACTGTGTAAGATCTTTTGCAGTCTCCTAGGGTAATTTACCAAAAACCAAACCTGCTGACACAAGAAAGTGGTATGTTAGTCATTCAAAAGGAAAGCAGCTCTTGGATGTTTCATAGAATAAACTAAAAGCAAAAATTCAAATGATCACAATCTGAACCCAGAGTCTGATCAGAACCGAACCCTTCTCAAAGGGAAAGAGTCTGGGTCATTCCTGGTAAACAGCATCTGGTCAAACAATGACCACATAACTATTTAAATAATAATTCCATCAAGTCATACAATCTACCTGTTTATGCTCGCAAATTCTCCAAATGAGAAAATGACCAGCTCACTAGCGTGAAGGAGTGGGGAGGGCAAGGACACGGGATGGGAGTGAGATCATGTACATGCCTCACTCCTTAAACCCAACTCGAAATCATCATCTCCTCTGACTCACCCAGGAAAAGTTACTGACAAAATCTCTGGCAACATCAAAGGTGGAAGACCAGGGGGAGTCACAGTCTGGCAAAAGACATCTGACTTTCTCATGCCTTTGACCTGTTCCTGGCAAGGCATGGCTGAATGCAGCTACAGCTCCCCAAGCCCTAGGCAGGACAGGGACACTTATGAACCCAAGCCTGTCTTCTTTCTGAAGTGCGCCAACAGACGGGAAAGGTCAGAGTCTCCTTTGTGAACATGTGTGGAAAGACCCAGTTCAGAGAGTCAGCCAAGGGATTTGGTCTCCTATACTATGCAGATGTTCGAGTTTTTAATCAGGGGAAAACGAAAGAAAGAATCTAAACACCTAGACTTCAAGCAGTTAAATAAATGAGGATGCATCTATCTGATGGCACACTGCTGAAGTGGGCTGCATGGGCCCACACGGAAATTGATATTAGTGAATAAAGCTGGCTGGAGAATAATACGAACAGTATGCTCCTACTTATGGCTTGAGATACAAGGGGGCTTCAAAAAGTTCATGGAAAAACCCCATTAGCTCTGAATTCCATTTTCCATAAAACTTTGAAGCCCCCTGGCACCTCTGTGGCCACACAAGCAAACGTATGTAATGCAGACACCTCTGCACCCCAGGCTGTGACCGTGGCTGTCTGGAGAGAGGAGTTAACAGAGGAAAGAGCTGAATGGATGGAGCACCACATTTGTTTTGTTTTGTGGTTTTTGCATGTACTTGTGTTATGTGTCAACATGTTGGTTAGACCATAGCGGCCCTGTGTAGGGTTTCTGAAGAAAGCTGGTAGGCTTGAACTGTTGACCCTGTGCGTCACAGTCCAGTGCTGATCCTACAATGCTACACCAGAAGTACTTGTGTTAAAACACAAAAAAACTCAACAGATGCAACTATCTACCTAGCTCACAGTTTGTGATAAGAACTTAACAAGGTCATTTATATAAACGGGCTTTGAAAGTGGTTTAAGTGTCAGATATTAGTTTCATTGCTAAAAACAGAGGAAGTATTTGCTTGTTGATCTGAACTTTTCCACAGTCTTCTAGCTCCCTGAAATGGAGTGCGTCCCCTTCCACTGGGGAGTTTCTCGCACACCTCTGAGTAACTGTATCACAAACAGGGAATTGAGTCTTCCCATCTGAACACAGCATTTCCTTCCGCACAAGTGAGGAGGCCAGGAAGGCTGAAGGAGTCCAGGCACTTACCTGTTTGGTTTATCTCAATTCGAGAACCATTGGTTATTTTGTCCATCAGCCTTATGAAGCTGGCTTCAAAATCTGTAGAGGAAAAGAAAGGACAGGTTGGCCACATACTGGTCACCTTCCGGAGATCCCCGCATCTGAGAGGGTGGGTCACACCCGGGGTCACTGGGGAAGGACTGGGAAGCCGGTGAAAAGCACTGACCTGCATAAGCATGTTTAATAGCACTATTAGGAACAAGTCACGTTCACAATCAGTGGAAAAAAGCAACTCCACCAGCAACTGGCCAGTAAGGCAGCTGCCACTCTACTCTGTGAGACAGGATGAGGCTCCACAGGGGTTTCAAGGCCTGAGTTTCTGCAAGCACACTGAGGCCTTTCTCTGAGGCACGTCTGTGTGGACGCGAACCTCCAACTTCTCTGTTAACAGCCAAGTGAACCCGGAACTCCACCAGCAGTGTAATGCGGTATTAACGTCAGCAGCATAAAATCCATTAAGATCTGGTCTTACGACTCTGAAAACCCCACTTCTGTTGAGTCAATCCCAGCTCATCCTGTCAGACAGAGAACTAATCCCCTAGGGTTCCCAAGGCGGGAATTTTAAGGAGAACAGATCACCAGGTCTTTTATTCTGCAGAGTGGCTGGTGGGTTTGAACTACTAACCTACCAGTCAGCAGCTGAGCACTTGCCATCACACCACCAAGACTCCTCTGCCATCGAGTGGGTTCCAAATCATAGCGACCCTGTATACGGTTTCTGAAGAGTGACTGGTGGGTTTGAACGGCAAACTTTGTGGTTAGCAGTCCAGTGTTGATCCTACAATGCCACACCAAGAGCCCCCACCTCTGGAGGCCACACCCAGTAAGAGAGGAAGAGCAAAACGCAGGGAGGAGTTTTAAAGCCAGAATCTTCCTCACAGCAGAAGTCCTGAGCGCAGGAAGATGAATTCAAGGGCTACTCTTCAGTCTCAGCAACAGAGCAAGACCACCATCCCACAGAACAATGTGTCCCTTTTCATGGGCAGGTGCTTTCAGCAGCTCATGTCTGCACACATTAAAAAGGCACATGGACGTCCAGAATTATTGCCACTGCTTTCAAATGCCTGAAGAAATAATGCTCTGTGTTCAGATATAGGTTTTCTCAATGACAGACTTCATATGGACTTAGTTGTCCTGTTAATATATTTTTATGTTTAAATGTGCATTCATCCCTTTTGATCAGAAAATACACTGATTTAAAACAGAAAAGTCGGTCATTTTTCAAAAAGAGGGAAGAAAACTAGCTGTTGAGTGTGAAATGTGGGAGTGGTGAATTCTCTGACGTAGGGAATAGACCCTCTGGTCTCTCGCTAAGCCAACTGCACTGGTACGCATGTGCTGGTCAACTTCCACCTCTTACCGGCAAATAAGCACCCATAGCACCCTGGTAGCTAACACATTAGACTTCCGATCCTGTCACAAACCCAAGGTGGGCTGATCCACAGAGCAATTCCCATCTACCTGTGACTCAACGCTGCCCCTAGCTCCCATCCTGGTGCCCCCAACCCCAACCCCGCCCAACCCCCCCTCCCACCCCACCCCCGCTACAGGTCCTGAGATAGCTCAGCATGGTGAGTCACTGCATACTGAGCGCCGACTGCCTGCTGGGCTCTCAGTGAACCTGGGACCCAGGAATGCTGGCCTGCTTGCGCTGGTCAAATGCCTGGCAAGTGGCAGAGCCAGGACTGGAGCCCAAGTCTGTCCTCCAAAGTCCACACCCTCTGCCACGAGTTTGCCTCTGCTCAGTTTACTCCCTCGAGCCAATTTCTGCCTTTGGAAAATATGATCCCTGTTCAACTGTACTCACTGCCCGACCTAAGGACCCTGAAGCCATGTGAGGGCCCCCCAGCCAACAGTTACCTTTAATGAAATCTTAACAATAAAATGCATCAGTCACTCACTATACATGTACGAGTGCTGCTCACAAGACTGTCGCTGCAGTCCGACTTCTCTTTATGTGCTAGGTTGTGGGGACACATATATGCTTACTAGACGTCATTGTTGTTGTTAAGTGCCATCGGGGTTCTGAGGAGCAGCTAGTGGGTGTGAAGGGCCAACCTTGCAGTTCAAACTGCCCTTGAAGTCCAGTGCTTATCCCACACCAGGACACACAAGCAGCCACCACATAAGTGTGAAAGAAACTGAGCTACAGAGTCGAAGCAGAAATACCTCCGACGGTGTTTTCGAGACAGAATAGTCTGTTTTTAAAAAGCAGGCTCAGACATCTCAGTTCAGCTTAATAGACAAAAATGCCTGCCTTGAGCATCATACTCTCTTAAGAGCTGTCTGTGGGACCCAATTTGGCAACAGCAGCCAGAAAAATGAGACAGGACACCTTAGGGGGTAGGGAGTTCATGTTCATGGGTGGGGGGGGGGGTGCTCAGCAAAGGAGGGTGAGAATGGCTGCACAATGCGATCAGTATCACTGAACTGAAGTGAACATACAGAGGTGCTTGAATTGGTAGATGTTTTGCTGTGTGTATTCTCAACAACAAAATAAATTTTTTTAATCGCCATCACAACAACGCTTTTCTACTTCTGTTTATAGCAAAGGCAAGCTGCTCTGTTAGCTGCTGTCCAGAAGTTGAAGTGAGAATGAAAACAAGTCCTCACACATAAAGTCCAAGATTCCACTCCTTGACCTTTCCAGATGAGGAGAGAAGAAAGCGAGACTTGTACAATCTACAGGCAGAAATGCCAACTACCAGCAGACTAGGGACCTCTGTGCAGGACAAGGACACCCCGGCCACAGCAAACTGGTGCTTTAGGAGAAATTCATTAAAGAATCCGACGCACAGCCAGCTCGAGTCCTAGTGACCGTGAAACTAGAGCGCCATCACCTGGTGCGAAAGAGAGTTCAGGTTTACCTCAACACAGTGTGCCCCGATGCCCACCCTGCGCTCAACTGTGCTCCCACCAAGACATGTGCCGCGCATATCCTTAAACTTCCAGGCCTGTGGTTACAATCCCATGGGACTGTCTTGGTTACATTAATAAAGTAGGATTAGTATAGGAGGCATCTTCAGTCGGTCTCTTTTGAAATATCAGAAATTAAACAAGCAAGCTTAGAAACAGAGGTGGAAGCAGAGAGATGCCAAACCACATGGAGATCACCCAAAAGAGCACGGACCTTCAGCCAGAGCTCTGTTTAGACTGCTAGCCTCCTAACGGTAAGAAAACAGACTGATGTCTGTTAAAGGCTCCTCCTTATTACAGCAGCACTAGCTAGCTAAGATAGCTTCCCCCAACTTCAGGTAGAGAAGATGGGCAGGATTCCCCATCCCTGCTCCTCCCACACCCTTTGGGGCTCTTCTCCTGGGGGCACAAAATTTCTAGTATTTGAAAACCTTAAGGAAAAGCTTCAAAACTAAGGCCACGTCTACTGCGCCATTTAAGGATTCCTAACGGGGTTTGAAAACTATAAAGAATAGTGGCTGGATACCGGAATGGTCGGGGTGGGGAAGGGAACGAAAGGGAAGGGAAGACCGGGATTGGCTGCATTCTATTTCCTGGCCTAGGTGGGAGTCACCACTTTACAATGTCAAGCACGAATTTTGCATTTCACACATTTTTTTTGGTTATACTTCACATTTTAAATGAGTTTTTTTAAATTTCCAGACCTTTCCTCTCAGGATATCCTTAGATAGCACCTCTCATGCCTGTACCTCAGGTAAATGATCTCAGTTTTCTTAAAACAGTCAATAACTTTTCACCAAAAAATACAAAAGGAATACAATGTAAAGATGAATGAAAACAGGAAGCAAATCTCAACTAACAGATTCCACAGAAATGTATCACAACCTAAATACCCAGAACCAATGGCCCAGTTAAATGAATTCTAACATATCCAGGTTTCAGAAACAGACCTGGTGGAGCAGTGGTTTAGGCCAGGGTTACTAACTGAACGGTCAGCAGTTCAAACCCACCAGTGGTTCCACGGAATCTCCTTCCGTAAAGATTACAGCCTTGGCAACACCTCTGCCCAGTTCCAGTCTGTCCTGAAGGGTTACTATGAGTCGAAATAAACTCCACGGTTCACAACAACAACCTGTATCAAAGCAGGAGTCCCTGGGTGGATTCTGTGCTCAACTAATTGGTGGTTAAAACTCACCCAGAGGAGCCTCGGCAGACGGACCTGGCGATTTGATTCCAAAAGGTCACAGCCTTGAAAATTCTAAGGAACAGTTCAATTCTGCACATGGGCCAGAGTCAACTTGTGGACAACCAACAACGACAATTTGTAATAATACAATCTGCAACCTTATCACTGGAGTCCTGGTGTGGCACTGTGGGTTAATGCGCTAGACCAACTGCGAGGTTGGTTTGAACCGCAAGGTCGGTGGTTCAAGCTCACCAGCTGCTCCTCGGAAACCCTACACAGGGCTGCTTTAAGTCAGAACCGACTTGACAGCAACAACCACCTCATCATTAGCAGGGAAGTTCTGATGTACTAGGATGAATCACGTCTGAGGTATGGGGTTGTGATGCAGCACCGTTTATGTAGAAAAAGGGACACACACACTTGTCTACGCCACTCTCTGAAATCCTATCTATAGAGGGTCACTATGAGTTGGAATAGATTCGATGGCAGTGGGTTTGGACCACAATTTAAAATATTCAACAAAACTATTTTCATTAAATAATTTAGGATGGATCTTTATCATTCTATGCAGCCATTAAAAATGCATTTAAAAGCAGTGTTTAATGACATGAGGAAATGCTCATACTATATTAAGGAAAAAGATTAAAAATAGCATATAAATATGAGCTCCAGTTCTTTAGAGAAGCTAATAAGGAGCCCTGGCGGCAGAGTGGCTTATACACCAGGCTGCTAACCCAAACTTGGCAGTTCCTGTCCACAAGACACTCCATGGGAAAAAGATGAGGCTTGCTGCTCACGTGACATCTCTACAGGATCTACAAGTCACAATCAACTCCATGGCACACCACCACCCAAGATATAACTGGAAGAAAAGACAGCAAACTGCTCCAAGTCATTAGTCATTAATCCTTAAGAGGTAGGAATCACGATTCTCAGA